AAATAACTGATTATTGAATATAACTTAATTTTAGTAGAAAATAGTAAGTAATATATTATTATATTGTGAAATACTTTTTTTTTTTAAATAGTTATTAGTTAATAATAATACATAATATTATATGGTATACTAAAATACTATATTATTTAAAAATCATTGCCAACTTAATTTGAAAACGACTAAAATGGCTTTGGTCGAAACGGGTATCTGGGCGAAACGGGAAAGGTTGATTTTGGGCAAAACGGGTGCCGCCCGAAAAGTGAAAACCAGAGTGACGGGTATAGTCGTATATAGGTGACGCTATTGAGACCTTTTTTAAGCGGTGCATCCCAAAATAACAAGCGAATTGCCTACAATCGCTATCGTAAATAAAAAGGTACACACTATAGTTGCTTCTGAAGATCAGGCTTAGTTCGCCATTATAATATACTAGTTGCATCCCAAAAATGTTTACATTACTTTCCTCCCACGTAGTGGTCTGTAATTAGGTACATATGCTCCACGTAAATAGATGAATTTATGTATTTATGTTATAAATTATATGTCGTGTTATAATGTAGTATAAAAAATTAAGTTAAGATACAGTAACAAATATTTAATAAAATAGGTACCTATACGTATATAGAAAATAATGATCAACATTAGTATTAGTATGGGCAGTATATACTTACCTAGATATTTTTATACTTTGCTATATTACTAAGAACCGTTGTTTTAAGTTTAGGAATTAGGAAGAACATCATACTAAAATTATTGATAGTAATAAATTTGTATTTTGTTCAATACATTTTCTTAGACAATAGACAGGTATAATTATAAATTATAATTTGATTGGCATGTGTACAGTTAAAAAATATTAATTTTAGGTACCTACATAAAACTGTACATAATATTTCATAAGTCTATGAAAAAAAAAATTGTTATTATATTTTTATATATATATTTATATAAAGTTGTATTATAATATTTCTATAACCTATATTACCAATTATTTAAATCGTTTAGAAACCACTTAAACATGTATTATCTATCCATTGTGAAGCAGTTAGTATGCAATTCGCACGTATACCTAGAACTTAGAAGGGACAAATTTTAGACCTTTTAAACTTCGGGAGGCAACTAGTATGAGCTCTTTTAGAGAGACGACCGTCTAAAATTATATATTTACTGCCTACCAAATAAATCGCATCAATCACGAAATTTCGATATGTAGGCAGTAGGCTAAAGCCTAAAGGGAACGATATAACACATTTTTACATTATACCTAATATTGATGTACATAGGTAATAGCCAATAGGTATAACTATTAACTATATATTACTCACTTGATCTTCCGTGCCAAAGCGTGCAGCTCGTTGGTAACTTCATAGCTCTCGAGACCCTTATAATATCTATCCTTTACGTGTGGCAACATCACCCCTTGAAGATATCCACCAATCACATCAGCAGCCGATATCATGGCGTTTTTCTTTGTCCGGTCGTCTGAGATGGTGTCAAATTTTTTAAAAATTATCCGTACATAGTCGAGGAACAATCTTCCATTGACCACATTTTTTGGAATCAACTCATCCATTAGCATGCGAGTGCGCAAGATCGCCACATCTTCTGTTGTCCACGTTTTAGCTGATGCAACGTCGTCGATACTGTACAGCGCTGTACCGACGTTTAACGCTATCGTAGTGATCGGATAGATCAGGACGAGAAAGGATAATATGATTTTAAACATGTTTTATGCTTTAACAATATAATTGTATTATGACGAAACGATGAATAACATATTACATTAAACTGTTGTGTAGAACACTGAATACTAAACAATATTTGTATCTATTTGTTGATTGCTGGTAGTTGTTAAATACATTCGTATTTACAATTTCAGTTTAACAAGCCAGCAATTTTTTCGTTAGAAAAATATTATATTATTAATTATTACATAATATTCTACCACACTAGATTATTTTAAGAAAAATCGTAACTTTGTAATAAATTTAACATAAGGGACCCAATTACTTAATAGTACTTACCTATGTAATCTTTTAATTTAGGTTTTTCATTTATAAACATTGAATTTACTGACATAATCTTATGAGTTATGGTTATTTAATTTGTTTATGGGGAAATAATAAAAAGTATTAAGCAGAGCTTAAACAAATTGTGATATTTTTTAGTAAAAGTAAAATTAGCATTTTTGGTATTATGTTGACCGTTACAGTAAAAATATGTTTCATAAACCAAAAAAGGTCTGGAGCAATGTTAAGTAAAATACAGCAAAATTAACGAAAATATTTCAAGAATTCTGAAGGAATAAGCTCCGTATCGGAATTGACGTACCTATACTCGCAACAGTCGCCGTTAACATTATAATTTATACAAACCGATGTAGGGATCCCAAGAACGTTAGAATTTACAATATTACAATTTTGAATTCCTATATTATATATTGCGTAATAACTAATAAATAATAAGTATATATATTATATGTATACCTACCTACCTACCTACTCTACTTTCCATAATTTGCTACTGTTGTAGAGTTCTTATTTGTTCAATAATACTATACCAAGTATTTAGGTAGCAATAATTTATTATTGTAATAATATTATCAATATACTGATTATTTAACGTACTATAAATTAGTTGTTCGTGTCTGTAATTTTGGTTTTAGTCACCATAATAACTGAGACGGAACTAAGTGGGTTTTAGATCCTGGTAAATAGTAATTCACGAATCACGATGGCCACGGATTTAGATAATTGTTTAAGCTTATTAACTATTTTTTTAATCAATCGATTTAGCAATACAAAAAAGATAACTTAATAATGATAAAAACGGATATTATAATATGTTGTTTAATTGATTGAAATTTGTAAGCAGTAAACCTAAGTGCTTGATGAATTAAATATTAAACTGTATATTATCTTATGTTATGTGTACAAAAATTGTTTAAGCATAATATTCTTATTCATGATAAACTATTACCCTTAACACACAACATAATGTTTAATAACTAGAAAACTACTCATTCGAATTTTTATTTTGATACATCAAAATTCTTAAAAAATTTATTCACTAAATAATTTACAGTAAAAAGGGGGGGGTTCTCATTTGAAAATCAAAAGCTTGTATCGCCACAGGATACTCCTCGAGTCGTACAAAAAATCTCAAGACTTTGAAAATATGGTCTCTGAGTATATTTAAAGATTCCAAAAGTCAGATTTTGAATAACTACATTATTAAAGAATAGAAGGCGGGCATGCTTGGTGAACCACCCTATGTAGTCAAATTATAATTTTTTAACTCAAGCAGTAAAACACGCTGTTAAACTCAACTTCCCACAGACGTATAAGAAGACTACCTACCTATATATAGAAACAATTAGAGAGCCTTAATAATATTTTTACTATTTTTATTATTTTATTTTTTATTATTAAGGCTCTCTTGATACAATAATTTATAACTTATACAGGTATGTTTTTTATTATTTAAAATTTAAATATGTATCTATAATATACTTACTATATGTATATACGACGTTGGACGTACTGCAATGTACAGTCTACGTCGATGGTTATGATATAGTATAAGATCACGCAAAAATCATATACATCATATATTATATTATATAGTACATTAATAACATTCTATATTAGAATTTATATAAATATATAATTACATGAATATAGGTGATATACTGATATCTGATAGGAATAAATTAGGTAAAAAAAAAATTAAGTACATATAAGTAGGTACCTAATAAACAATCTATATAAAACGTTCACAATAAGCATATGTGATAAAAATTAATAAGAAATTAGGGCAGGAAAATAAATCAGAAAAGTTATATCTAAATGAATTTACTTATTGATGACACTTTGTATTATAATATGTAGTATGTACCTATACTCTATAGTCTATTGTCTATACGTATTATGTTATAGTCTATACTCTATATAGGTAATAATTATTATAAGAGATCATAACAGCATTTACGATTCAGTCGTCTACGACGATTATACCATTTATACCATTTATACCATTTACCTTTACGGCTTTACCATTAATTAATAAAGATGATAAGTTTTGTTAGTAATAATAATATAGATTTGGATTAGACGATAGACGATTTAGATAGATTTCATTGTAGTATTCGGCCTCATTACAAATTTATAATATACATGTAATATGTATATACAATTTTTTTATTTTAAATCTATGGGTAATGTTGTTTGTAAGTTATTTGATAAGTAGGGAGGAGCATTAAATAGATTTTTGAAAAGATTGAATTTTATTTCATTCAAAAAGTTTTGAAATATTTTGGAAATTTTTATCGTGTACAGAAAATGCCAACATAAACATTTGGTGAAAATTCCAAGTATCTACGATTAATATTTATTTGTTTTTGAGTTACAAGCTGTCGGCAGTGTACCTAATACCTATAATACATATCTAACATTGTGGACAAATCCGACCGAAATGGGCAAGTGCCACTTGCGGCAGATTGGATAGTGGATAGAGTACGTATAGTCAGTGGATGGGATGGGTGCTGTGCTTATCAGTTTAAGTGTACAGCTTATAGACATTAGACAAGTATACTAAATACAAGTATAACTACCTGACAAAATCAATTTAGTTATAAGTAGTTAGTAACTAGGTACATCCGACCGGGAAAAACTGAACAGCACTTCAACAGCGGTCAAAAAATATAAGCAACACATAAAAATCGAACAGATGGCGCCACGGGTATATTCCTACTACATAGTACAATTTTCCCAGGATAGAAACTGGATTTATAAAACTGTACCTTAAACGGCTTAAACCTGGCCGGATAACCAAGGTATCTAGCAGCGAAAACCTCAGTCAAATCCATTCATTCGAAGATTAGTTGTTTCCGGCAAAACTCAATTTCACGTTATATTGTTGGAAGATAAAATATTTAATAACAGCTGGAACGTGTGCGAATAATTCGCACGAAGAAAACTTATAAAAAGTAATGATATTATTACAAAAAATATAATAATGAATGATGATAAATGTAAATTTAAAAAAAATCAAAAAAACCATGGATATTGAAAAAAATATTTGTCATCAAATGTCTTTATGTACTTATACCTATAGTCTACTGCCTAAGCTTTACAATACTAGAAGTTAATATCGATCCATACATATACTATAATTTATTTTTTATTTTTCTATAACCAAAACAATCAAATTTTCAACATTTTTGTTGGAAATTAGTTTAACCTTGCCGTATTAGTACCTAATATCTAGCAATATTATTTATATTTAATAATAAATATCTTTAGAAATATAGGCCAACTAACCGCTCATTTGCGTTTTTCATTTTATGAGCAATGATTAATAATTTTAATTTAAAATTGAGTTTAACACATCAATTTACTATTACAGTTTCTACATATTCTATCATCTTATTCGTTGACGTTACATAATATTAACACTATATACTATACAAATATACAATATACAGCAGACCGAGCTCCCCGGTTTTATTATATTGATTATTGAATACAGTTTAAATACAACTAATCAAGTCAATAGTTATTTGCTATGTAATATTACTATGTATAATTATTTTATCATAAGTTAAAATATCCAACGAGCATGGAATTTTCAATATTTGGCAACTTGAATTATATAACAATTACACGTATATACTCGTCCAGTTACTTCGATATTTTTTTACTTGCCAAGGTCAATCTTTAATACGTTGCAGTATATCGTATTTACTTTTTTATTTACAGGCATACGCATCAGAAAACTGAAACATCAAATTACATCCGTATTTTTCATTCAGAAAACGTGTATAGAGTTTTTTATAATTTGTAGATACACGCATAGAAAATTAATAATCTGTATTGTTAAAATATAATAAATTCTCGATAAAGAGTACGAGAGTACCAATACTTATATAATTCACAACCTTGGAATATTAATGTAGAATTGCTTTTATTAGTTTAATAACTATTATACAATTTAATTAAAGTCATATTGTTTGATTGCTAAGTTAATTGTTTAACCGTAAACCAACACAGCTTAGCAGCTCCCTTCAGTAAAATAGTGAATCTAGACTTAAAGCACGGATCAAATTTTATTTAATCTAAGCTTTAACTTTTAAGTAGGTACCTACTACTTGCTAGTGGACGGTGCCTTACTAACAACTGCATTAAATGATATAATGTTGTAATGTTAATATGTTTACTATGTTAAGAATATAATTTTGTTTTTACATACCTATATATAATATCTATATCGATTATTAAACATCATAATATTACATTTACGGCTTACGCATATTATTTTCCTAAATATATTTTTACTGACGTACCAATTGAAACAACAACACGTATTTGATAAACCACGCAAACATTATTTATTTGCTATCGCATGTATCAATATTTTAAATTATAATTAATAATTATTATACATACATTTAATTTAGTATGTCGATTGTCGAATGAACTATATAGTCTAGTAACTATAAACATATACATCCCGATCCATTTAACATTTTAACATTTTAGGGCATATTTTACATTATTATTTATTTTAGTTCTTATAATTACAACATTTTTGGAAAAAAAAGTATATTTTTTATCATTATTGCTTTTCAAGTTTTTTACTCTTTTGAATGACAACTAACATTTAAAATTTCATATTCCAAAGCAGAATATTATTTGGAGTATTTTGATTTAAAACAAGTAGCTTATTAGTAGTTAATTTATAACTTATTATTTATAAGTATAAGTTTTTAAAATTTATTTATTACTTAAGCGGAGTTGTGGAACAACATTTTACTGAGTTACTGAATATACCCACTAGCCACAGATGTACCTCACTACTTCTCGAATCTAAACTTTAAATACTCATAAGTCGTAAAATACTAGCCTAAAATTGGGTTTTTGAAGAATAATATTGGTACTGCAAAA